ATGAGTTTCACAAAGTTTAGCTAACTAAATCGAGAATTATTGGTATAGAAAATTAGTGTATTTGCATGGTACGTTATACAATTTCCTCCATAACATGGAGTATATACTATGTACTTCGTGAGATTCTATTGGACTTAATCGAAAGTATTGCAGTTGAAAAATAATAAATTCCTAAAGGGTTGCTCTTCACAAGGTTTTCCTTATTTGAAAGCATATCGTTTTGTAAGTGCACAAACACATTACTGATATCAATCTTATTTCAATATAACGTCTTTTCCAGGGATTCTTTCCATTTACCTGCGAGTTATTTTTTCTGCTTTCATACCTAAGGATATATTTTGAGGAGCAAAAGTGACAAGTATTAGGAGGCTTTGTTTTAATTTTCATTTTAAATTGTAGCGAGATAAGGAGAAAAAATACGAAAGATGAGTACTGAGTAGGAAAGATTATTACCTGTAATACACCCAATTATTGGTTTTTTGTTGTAGAACATGCACTGGCTTCTAGCTTCTTTTGTTGATATCCACCTTATTGGCAAGAAAATCGTCCTACATTGAGCCAATATTACTTAATATTGTCAAAACATTTCAGTTGTTTTTTTTTCTCGACCCAAATTAAAAGTACTGTGATGTACATATTTTAACGATAAACTTTAACTAAAAATTTGAGGAAACCGAACCCATGGTACACAAAATAAATACCCCCGTTATAACAAACCTGCAGACTAAGCGAAATTCCATTTGCCTGATTTGATTTTCACTTAAATCTAGGATTTTGCGGTCTCATTAAATTCGAATCCTGTTTATTGAAATTTGTATATGTCAAAAATATTTGATTTATTAGGTACGGGAATAACACATGGAATCTTAATTTTAACCCTTTCTTGGCATAAAACTATTTACCTACATATTATTATTCTGACTTTTCAAGATTGGGGAAACGTAGTGAGTCTTACAATAAACTAATTGTGAGTTACAATAAATTCCCAATAATAGCCTCGTAGACAACTACTATGCAACAACGCATATTGGCTGATCAACAATGATGTAAAGAAAACGGGGATACCAACACATACGCTTGTTTTATAAATACAATGTGGCTAATAGACCTTTTTATTTGGGGTGCGTGTTAAAAAAACACCCTGTACTAGCTTATACAGGGTGTTGAAAATGTCTGGAACCAACATTATATCTGGTGAGTGGTTAAAGAAAAACAAATGATATTTTGTGTACGGATATACTATGGTTTTACCTATCTTTTGGTGCCTTATGACATTTTTTACCACTTATAGGGAACGTCCTGTGGAGGATGCAGTAAAAGGTTTTAATGGAAGCCTATGGTAAATGATACATCATTTTAAAGGCCATTTTTTTCTGAGTAAGGAGCCACAAGTTTCATCTCAAAAGGACCACCTTAGCAAAAATGGCGACTGTTTGAAATTTAAAAACATTGCTATTTAAATGGTCCGTATTTGTTTCCTTTAAATGCTATTACAAGCCAGTTACGAAGTACAGTAGTTTATCACGTGGTGAACTGAAAAATGACTGAAAAAAAAAAAACATTTAACTAAATTGTTTGTGTTGTTTTACTAAACTTATTTTTAACAGAAATACCAATTAAGCTTTCAATTATTTTCAAAAACTTCAAACAGTCGCCATTTTCACTAGGGTGGTCCTTTTGAGATGAAACTTGCAGCTCCTTACTCAGAAAAAAATGGCCTTTAAAATGATGTATCATTTACCATAGGCTTCCATTAAAGCTTTTTACTGCATCCTCCACAGGCCGTTCCCTCCCTATAAGTGGGTTTTTAAATTTCAAACAGTCGCCATTTTTGCTAGGGTGGTCCTTTTGAGATGAAACTTGCGGCTCCTTACTCAGAAAAAAATTGCCTTTAAAATGATGCATCATTTACCATAGGCTTCCATTAAAACTTTTTACTACATCCTCCACCGAAGGTTCCCTATAAGTGGGTTTTTAAATTTCAAACAGTCGCCATTTTTGCTAGGGTGGTCCTTTTGAGATGAAACTTGCGGCTCCTTACTCAGAAAAAAATTGCCTTTAAAATGATGTATCATTTACCATAGGCTTCCATTAAAACTTTTTACTGCATCCTCCACAGGACGTTCCCTATAAGTGGTAAAAAATTTCATAAGGCACCAAAAGATAGGTAAAACCATAGTATATCCGTACACAAAATATCAGTTGTTTTTCTTTAACCACTCACCAGATATAATGTTGGTTCCAGACATTTTCAACACCCTGTATAGAGTTACGTGGTGCATGCTGGATGGTCAATTAACACATACCTTTAGAATGTGAGGTGATCTTTTGGAATGTAAAGATTCTAAGATATTTGAAATTAAATAGTAAAAATTCTAGATTTCCGACAAAATTTTACCTTTATTCCTTTAAATAAATTGCAATTTTAATTTATTATACTGTACTATGTTTTTTGCTTCGAAATCGATTTAATTTAAAATTAAAACACATAGACTATGGTTCTATGTAGACATATGATATATTGTGAAGTTTATATTTTAATAATGTCCAAAATAATAATGAACATATTTTCAAGTTTATAGCATATCACATCACTTATTGTTTTTAGGAAAGGAACAAATGAATTGACATACAAAAAATATACATATATTTGAGTAAAAAACGTTAAACACTGTACAAAACAACTACAATAAAAACAATTACCTTACAACAATAGAGAGTTTACATCTCAACAACTTTAAGTTATGTCAGTGGTAAGGATGAATGAGCAAAAAGGCTAAAGACTTAACTCATGTCCAAATACTTTTAATTATTTAATAACATGTGGTAAAATTACTATTTTAGTTTCTAAGTTGATAGAGACTTAAAAATTAATTAATTACAATAAAATATCGTTGTAAAGATTTCTTTTTCGTAGCTAATTGGCACTTTGCCAATGCCAATTAAATTTTACAATAGCCTTTTTGCTTTTCATCCATAAAAATACCAAAGTATGACTATTATTGAAGCGAGGGTGACATATATATCTTGTTTTACATCCAAACATATATTTATGATCAAGTAAAATGTACACAGCCAATATACACCAACAGTCCATTTAGAGAGTAGTGAAATGCATTTGAAAACATCGTAGCATAATAAAATGGCATCAAACTACTACTAGACAAATAAATAAATGTAGAACAAAGAAAGATAAACCATAATAGAGACATACAATTTATATAAGATAAAATACTTGTCACTACCCTTAAAGTTATTTTGTTTATAAGAACGTTTACTTAGGCTCATGTATGAAAATGGTACATTATGTATGTTTAGTTTCGTATTTTATGATTTCAAGATTCAGGATTAAAAAATAAAAACACAGAACATTACTCTATGAGTTTTTGCAGCATTTACTTAATAGTAACCCCGGGTATCTTACTAATATTATAAATGTATTATTATTAATCAACAATACAAAATGCTAGGATGCAAAGCTCCCATAGGTCGGCCGTTTAGAAAACGACCTGCGCGAAATTTTTTGTGCATGTAGGGGAGGTAACGGTGGGGGAGGATATGTTCCCCCTCTCCGCCAGTGGCCGTTTTCACACTGCACGACACGACACCGGCACGACACCGACACGGCGCCGCCCCGGTGTCGTGGGAGTTGGAATCCTGTGATACCAAATGGAACTGGAACTGCTTACACAATGATATAATAACATTTCATGATGCTCAAATATTGATGTGATTTAGGCTATACAAGATTTTTTGAGGACCTATTTTTCTCAAGCTATGAAGAACGTAATTGTTTACATTTTGATCAGCTGTATAATTTAATATGATTAGCTGTGTTCGGGAAGGTTGGGGATGGGGCGGCAGCAGAGTGGCGGAAGAGCCATAGTCTGTCTCACTCCTACAGCTCGGTATCTATCTCTCGCACCAATGCCAAGGAGGACGCTTTCTTAAGCGGCCGACCTATAGATCAATATTTTGACGTAGATTTTCCCCTGACGCGCAACCGAATGCAAGGGTTTGCAAGATTACTGTTCTCACCTGCTACATTGAAAGTAGAATCAAAGTTAAGGTTTCATATTAAAGAGGATGACATTTTCTAGAGTTCTGCGTTTTATTATTTCATTTATTTTTAATACACACCTTATAAACTTGATTTGTAGAACAAGAAAAAGGGTCTTTTCAACTATCCCTAACTTATTGAAAAAACGTTAGTTGAAAATTTGAAAAACGCAGAACTATAGATTTGTGTTTGCACTACTATAAGCCGTTTAAAGTGCGTAGCTATCATTATTGGTTAATTCGAAAACAGTAATCTTGGAAACCTCTGCAAGTGCTTCTCGTGGCACTGTCCAATGGTGCAACATAGCAACTGAAGCCTGAACTGAGATTTCCGAGCTGAGGTAGAGCGCACCCTTAAAATACATGACTTTCTTATCACAGAAATACTTGAATTTAAAACTAGTTAAATATTTATTAACTATCTTAGACCCTCATTTAAGGCAGGGTGTATAGTATAAAAATCCATGATATAAAAATGAACGTTTTGTTTTAAGTCTGTGCTATTTTAATAAAGTCATCTTATCCTATTTTTTTTTTGTTTAAGGTATTTTAACATCATAGAGGAAGTGTATTGGAAACACTGGACAACGAATTTAAATGCTCTAAAATGAACAGAGACTTAATCTATGTTTACAATTATTAATGAAATCATTATTTTTAAATGCAAGTACAAACATTAAAAAAATATAAGAATCTGAAAATGTTGTGTGAACGCAAAAACTGCATATTATGTTTTGAAGAATTTAAATCCACATTTGTTACATTAATAAGATCTAATATGATTGCGCACAAGAGGCGAATAGACCTAGCATGATAAAATACAATAACCTATCTTACTTAGGAAAAATAAATAAACTAGGACAAGCGTACAATATAAAAATCACAGTATTTTAATGGAATACAGTCACCATCCACGGAGAGGAGAACTTGATGACAGAGAGCCGAAGTTTAGCCAACACTGAATAACTGAAAATTTGCAAAACATATAGCCAACATTAAAAATTGTATTAACACACACTGTAATACTTAACATTCTAATGTTGTTCAAAAATTTAATTTAAACTCAACAACTCTTGCATTTCATGCAATAAATTTTATTTTATCACTCACGACACAATGATTTTCTACAAGGAAACTCTATTGCATATATCGAAATTTTCTTTGTCCTAGGACGCACGAGCCTGGGATTGTTTTTCACATTACTTTCGGCTAGACTTTGGGTTGCGGCATTATGACTTAGATATAATCCATTGGTGACTTGGCGGGGATCGAACCCGGGGCCTCAGTGACTGAAGTCCCGCGCTTTAACCACTACGCCAGCTCGCTCCCCGCATATCTCGAAAATAGACTCTGTTGTTCCGATTGTGTACTACTTATATCTTTTGAAAATGATTTATTATCAGTTAAATCAATTCAGCTGAATTCAGTTTTAAATTAATTTGTTACCAATGACCTTCTGATCGTTATTATAATTGCTTATTTGAAAACTTCATACATATACTGACGTTCGTGATTGATATAAATTTCTACAAAAATAGTGGTAACAATCGTTATTTCCTCATTCGTGCGCTCGAGGCTCAACTTGTAGATAAGCCCAGCTTAAATGTTGTATAAATGTTATAGCAAGAGCAGAATAATACAAATCTCAATCGAGTTCAAATCGGCTTACGGCTTTATGCCACGACGTTTCAAGTCTACATCAAGCTTGTGTAAAGCATTTTACTACAATAGTTAAGAAGTAAAAAAGCTCGATTGGTTTTGTTACACATTTATTTAAAAATTGTGTTTAATTTGATCGTTAAGTACATTGGAAATATTTAAGAAAAAAGCTAAATATTGTATTAAAGAGAATATTTCGATAATTTAAGAAAACCTAAGCCTGCCACTTAAAGTATTTACAGTAACAGGTTGTAAATAAGCTTAAAAAAGTTGTTACGACGTTATGCAAGTGTAAAAGTGTGCATTGAATGCTTGTTACGTGTTGAATTGACATTTTTATGCAAAAATGTTCAATAACGCTTGCATGCACAGAAATGAAACGACTATGTGATGACAGATTGTTTTAGTTTTTGCAACATTTGTTTGTCGTATCGATATTATCCACTGGGTTGATCGTCAAACTAAGTCAATTTACAATGCTATGTTGAAGGAATAGTAAAGATACTTATGCATATTTCACTTTTGTAATGTGTCTGTGTGGTAAGACATACATTTAATGAAATAATCTTAATATTTATAATGGGAAATTAAAAAAAATGAAAATAAATTCTATTGTTTGATCACTGACTCTTACAGTTTTCTTTTATTTCTTCATCCTTGAATGATGAAGAATGTCCCTGTTTTAAAAATTACTTCAGTGTAGGACTGTGGGTGAACGAAATGACAATTCTCCTTCATTGAGGTGAACATAGGGCCTCAAGGTTCTCTCTTACAGCAAACTTCTAAAACAAGGTTTTGATATTATCACATAATGCCACTGGGGATTGACGGAATTTGTACTTTGGACCTCGAGGACCGAAGCCCTGCAAGCAGCAGCCTAGCTACAGCAACTGTTATGCATAAAAAATTACATTATCATAAGCTCATCCGGGGTAGAGTGCGGGCTTTTGGTCCCTGGTTCCAACCCCCCCCCCTTCCACAAATCACCAATGCATTTTATCTAAGTGATAATACACAACCCCTATGTCTGGCCTGCAGAAAAAAAAACGGTCCATACCTAGTTATACCTGTCGTGGTACCGTTTGGAGATGTTCTGCATGTACAACTCTAACTCCTTCTGCAGCTCAGCGTGGTCCACATCTTGCAGACTGGAGTTGCTGATGTTGTTGTGAAGGTTGCGGTCAGACTCGTGATGATTACCAAGACCAGTTACTACGTACTGCTCCATAGTTGCCTCTCGATGCAGGCACGATATGCACGACATCGTGGTCGTCTTCTCGGTCGCGCCCAACCTCGTCTCCATGATGTCTGGTGTTATGTAGCTACTCTCCGACTTCTGTGAGATTATTAGTGTTTTTCATTTTATTGTATTTTAAGTTATTTGTAATTTGAATTTCTTTCGAAACTCGATTTAACCAGGTTTTTAATTTAAATAAAGCACGTGATTATACCACGTGAGACCACAGTGAAAATAATATATATACAGGGTGATTGGTACTCATTGTGACAAAAATCTTTTTTGTGTAAGTACAAAGTAAATTAAGTGATGATGAATATAAGAGGTTCAAAGTGTAAACATTAGCTTCCCAAATAATTATTTTAAGTTATAAAAAAACCATGTTTTTAAACTTAATACATTGTAATTATCTGTAAACGGATTTGAGTAGATAATGTCATTTTCGTGTTCTACATTAAAGTTTGAATAAGAATAATAGAAAATGACTAAGGATCAGTTGTAAAAACTCCATTGTAAATAGATTTAAAGAAAAAAATAAGGTGTATGATACGAATTAAAAAAACATTGCATTTTTCTACACCCTGTATACAAGAAGGTGACTAATCATGTTAAAAACTACGCCTTTTAAAATATTTCCAACCATATGCTACACTATTGAGCGTTAGGACTGCTTATGTGTGCTTCAGTGGTTTGAAGACTCCAAAACATGGTGTTTTGAACATTTTAAATATAGATAGTTGGCATGTATTAAGAATATCAGTTTGAACAGTAAAAACAGTAAAAAGTTCCCTGTTTTCTAGCATTCAACCCCAAAACAAAAGCATTTCTAAGCTTATAAGAACCACAACACATAATTTTAATCAAACCCAGCTGTTTTCCTAAAATCCGATATTTTGTTATTAAATAGGTGAAATAACATAAGTGCAATAACTTTTGAACCGTACTTTTTACGAAAATGGGATCAGTAACATTTTGTTTAAAATTTTAAGGACCATAACTTACTAATTTTAATCAAAACCGGCCTTTTTCCCAAAATAAAAATTTTCATTACTATGAGGGTTTTATGGCAAAATAACATAATCCACAATAACTTTGGACAACCTTTCACATTTATAATATTAGTAAGATCAGTATGATGATGATAAATCTAATTAGAATTACAAACTTTTGGGAAACCGTAAACCCATAATTGAATAAAAGGTCTTAAGCGAAACTTCACAGAAAAATTAAGTTTTTTCGCTATGCACGAACCTCAATTAAACGGCTGAATTATATTTCATTTAAAATACAGGGTGTTTCAAAACTCTCTCCCGAAACTCAGCGGGCATGCTTCTTAGGACAAGACAAAAAACAAATATTGTCTAAGCATAAGCCTTATCTCGCTTCGTTTTCCGTCTGGCAATGTGTATGTATATTTTATATAACTTCCTATAACCTTGGAACCCCTTGAGGTGCCAAGTTCAAAACTGGTACGTGTATGATGACATATAGGAACTATTTTTTTGCATAGCATCAAGTTTCTACTTTGTATAATTTAAAAATAGCGGTCCTTTTTATTTTTTTAAATCTTAATATCTCAAAAACCATAGTATTAATACATATATTACAAACTACCAAAAGGATGGAAATTTAATTCCCTTTTCAGAAATGTACAATTTGTACAGGGTCATTATACAAACAGCGGACAAAAATAAAATTTTCTGAAGTTAAAACTAAAAATTTGGGCAAATTCAATAAATTTGCAGAGGTATTACCTGTATTAAAATTGTATAAATAAATAAATAAAAATGAAGACATGAATATATATATATATATATATATATATATAAATAAAAATGAACGACAATGAATAAATGAATGAATGGATGGATGGATGAATGAATGAATGAATGAATGAATGAATGAATGAATGAACGAACGAACGAACGAACGAACGAACGAACGAACGAACGCACGAACGAACGAACGAACGCACGAACGAACGAACGAACGAACGAACGAATGAATGAATGCTAGAACGAACAAATGAATGAATGGATGAATGAATGAATGAATGGATGAATGAATGAATGAATGAGTAATGTAATGAATAATGAATAATGTATGAATTAATGAACAAATGAACGAACGAATTAATGGATTAATGAATGAATAGATTGATGAATGAATAGATGGATGAATGAATGGATGAATGAAGGAATAAATGAATGAATAAACAAATTAATAAATAGTATCCTCACCTGGCCCTTCACACTAGAGTCTCCTCTGTCCGAGTGGGAGGGGGCAGATTGTGAGTCTGTGGCAGTCACGCTTTTTGAACCTGGCCCGTTGAACGCCCTCTGCTGTCTAGAGAGCACGGAGTAGCTTCGTCGTCCGGTCGCACCACAGCAGCACCGGCACAAACTGTCCTGTCCGGACAACAGAGCACGGCCTGCTTGCGTTAGTGTGTTCTCTACATCGCCCAGGCATTAATCGCATTTACAGAATGAATAATGTATAGACGAAACATGGTATTTACGCCATGAATACTATAAGTATCCCGCCGCAGCAAACCTGCCAACTAAGCGAATTTCCATCTGCCTAAATTGATTTTTAATTAAAGCTATTTATATGACGTTAGGTCTAACGTGCACCTAGGTTTGCTGCTACAGGGAAACTAATTAAGTGTGTTTTTTGTAAAATATATGTATTATTAATATGTAATGTATAAAATAAATAAATTTACCGAGTTTGATCAAAATATATCCATAAACAAGCAAACTAGAACATTTTACAATATTCTGCTTAGGAATAACATCGCAGGAAGGTCTAGTGAGAAATTGGGAAACTTTGTGTTTTGGGGGAAAACCCCATTTTCACCCCATAAAACCCCCCGTTGAACCTCGTTTCCGTTTCTATGGACCGATCATGCTGGTTCGCGAACTCATTCAAGTTTATCTTTCCTTACACCTTCAAGCCAAATTTCATCAAAATCGGAAAAAATACACAAGTTATCACGTTCACGAACACATTTATAGGTAACTATGTATATACAATTTTTACGAATGGTGTTTTTGGTTTCTGGGGACTAGGTCTTACCATACCACAGTAGTAGCCCCTAGGCTGTTTTGCCGCACCAGCTGATTTGACCGTTAAGCGGAAATGACGTGTAAAGCCGGAAATGACGGGGGATTTGACAGTTAGGTACGATAGGGGTGGAAATGGCGTGTTTTATAGCGGATTTGAGCTGACGTCATAATTAGGATGATCATATGATTTTCAAGGTCATTTGTTTGTGTTTTAAAAAAAGGAAGCTAGCCTACAGTTGTAGTGTAGGATAGCTTCCTTGTTTTGTTTATTGTTTATTTGTATAAAACATGAGGGATGACAATAACTTACATACTATTACAATAAATAAGGAAAACATGTGCGAACGTACGTATCTAGAGTGAGCGTTTGCTAAAGTGTAAAACGAATGAGTTTATTGGTGGCCTTTATAAAGGCCGTTTTGTGTAGTTCGGCGACGCTTGTGTACTTGGATGTTTACTTCTTCAACTCCTCTATTGTATTATGGAGCTCTTTCCATCTTGCCATGTCTGCATTGTGCTCGGCCCATTCGATGTTGTCTCGAGGCTGAGCGCACCAAACACGATCAAATTTGCGTCGAATCTCTTTCTCCTCCTCTAGCAGTTGAAGTAGTTTTTTTTCCTTTCGTTTTCGCTCCTGCTCTTCTGCTTCGATGCATGCTTGGTGTAGGTCAGAGTCTTCAATATCACTTGTCCACTGTTGTTGTTGTTGTTGTTGTTGTTGTTGTTGTTGTAGGTTGGCCATCTTGTGCAAAGTAAACGAGAAAGGTTGAGTTGACTGGTGAAGAGCTGGATGCGAAGTGACTGTTGCGTGTAAAGAAGTGCAGGTCCCTGACGAAGTGGGCGGAGCTAAAGCAGTAGAGGTGGGGGAAAGTAGTAGAGGTGGGGGAGAGCATCATGAGGGCATCATTCCATCCGTTTTAAAAGTATTTTGATTCTACGTCCCTTGTCTTGTGAGTGATGTTTCCGTTTTTCTTGATACGTTTTACAATTACATTGACAATAGGAGAACGATTCACATTTTTTACAAGCCATTCCATCTACTTGACATTCAGGTGTTTTGAAACACTTTAGATTACAACAATAGTATTTTAAATCGTATTCCGATTTGGGATCAAAAGATGAATTGGAATTACACTGTGACATGTTGCTCGACTGAATTCTAAAACAAGAATGAAAAGCAATGTGTTGTGAGCTGCTATTTATAGTGCAAGAGTCAGCAGCTCTCATGCATCTGTCACAAGTTAGTCTACATTTTTCCATAGTAGGTTAACCATTTGTGTTAGATCGTGTATGTAATTTTGATGCTTGTCTTGATATGTTTTACACCTACATTTGCAATAGCCAACAGACTCACATTTTTTACAAGCTTTTCCATCAACTTTACTTTCAGGCTTTCTAAAACATTTTAAATTACAACAATAGTAATCCAAATCGTATTTGGATTTGTAAACAAAAGGTAAATTGTATTTACGCTGTGACATGATGCTCGGTGAATTGTTAAAACAAGACTGAGAGCAACTGCGTGTAAGACCTGTTATTTATAGTAAAAAAGTTCAAGGTCATTTGTTTGAATTTTAAAAAAAGAAACAACATATCAGCATATAGAATTAATTATATGCTGCTATGTTGTTTCCTCTTTTAATTTTTTTATTTATTTTTTTAATGACAAAAACATTTAACAAACATATGTACATAGATGGTTATTTACAGAAAAAACTTAAAACTAACATTGATGGGTGATGTGTAGAGATAGTTCAGTGGAATTGTTTCCGCAAACTCCGTGTGATACCAAATAGAGGGATCCTGGTTGAATACCTCGCAGGTCTTCGTTTTGTAGTTGCTGTACAAATCGTCTTGGAAGATAAACTTGAAATTTCGGTTCATCACCTGGTGAAAACGGTGCCTCGCTCAGTGATGCTAAAATTGCGTCTCCATGTGAAGTTTCTGTCTTCTTCAGCTCGTGAACGATGTAGTGTTTGTGTTCCTTCAATTCGTGACATTTCTTAGTAGTAAAAAAAAAAAAAAAAAAAAAAACTTAGAATGCTGGATTTGGACTGGGTGTTGAACTGATCCACCAAAGACTGGAGAAACTGTTGTGAAGCCATTTTCTTGATTAGGACTACCCTGTGAGATGTTGCCTCTGCGATGTCTGGAGTAATACTGATGAGGATCCTGAGACTGTCCACTGTATTTATAGCACACGTTCCCCCCTCCACTGCTATTTCCTTCGTAATACTTCCACTGTTGCTGTTTGAATTTATTTTTGTCCCAATAGTGAAGAACTAGAAAATTAGCTAATCGGTATGCGTTTTGTAGTGCACATTGTGTTACTGTGCGATAAGAGTGATCTGTTAAAGTACAAATAGGTCCATAATTAATTTGATGATCCTTGTCCATTCTTATGTCGAAAACATCGTGATATGTGTATTGTTGTATCCATTGTCTTTTTTCCGATCCTCTTGTATAAATATGGGAAAACTTGTTAGAAAAATGATACATGATATTGTTCAAGTGCTTATAGCTTATCAATCCTTCGTTCCACTGAATATGGTGAAAATGTTTGGTTATCCATTTGTTTGTTCTTCTTGCTTTGTCATTCAATTGGTTTACTGAAAATGGAGCTTCAAATATAAACGGGTATACGACATGTGTAATCAAATCTAAAATCACTAATTCTTTTATCACAAATTCATCTTTGTTATCACGAAATGCTTGAAATTCTATTACACAGGGTTTTATATCCATAATGTTAACCCTATCTACACACCACCACGTATAGTGTTCAACTGAATTCACACCGCGCCTTGGTCACTCTTTTATACTGTTTTTCTTTAATTACACTTCTTGGGTTGCTGGTTCTTCTTGGTTTATAGTTTCATATTCTTCAACAGCTTCTATCGCTTCTATCGCTTCTTCATCAATTGATTCGAAGTTCCTTAACTGTCTCCACATACCAACTTCATGAGGCAATCTATTAAAAATAGATGTATCCACGTGTCCGTATAATATGGTGCTTTCCGGTTGTTTTTCCAGTGTATCAATTAAATACTCTTTGATGATTGAACTTGAGAATACAAGTTGTTTCATATATCTAGAGATAGGAGACGTTGCATGCATTAAAATGTAGAATTCTTCACGTGAGAGTAAAATTTTACTTTCATGTTGAGTTAAATCTCTAAATCGTACTTGTAGTGTTCCACGATTCTTTACTATGTCAATTTCATTGTCAGAATCCAAAAGTCGAATATTAGTTTTCCTTCCGCAAACATTAGTATTTAAGTAACATTCAATTAGATTTAAATGTTTTAGAAAAGATTCCCATGCCGTTTCAGAAAATATAACCATTTTTGTACCATGCTGCAAGATTACTGTAGGTGTATATTCCGAAGATTTCATTAGTCCAGCTGTTACACTTTTACCCAAACATAGTGAGATAGGATAGTAAATGCGTAGGAAAACTTCTTTCAAAATATTAATTGGGATTGTATCTTCATCTTTCCGCTTCCTTTTAGTGCCATTTTTTTTAGTTTTTTCTTCTTTTTGTTCCTTGTCCTCCTTGTCTTCTTGTTTTCGAAACTTTAAAAACTCTTCTATTTCATTGACGATTTCTTGATGGTTTTCTTGATCCAATAATGCTGCTTCCTCTGCATCCTTTTGTACGACTGATGGAGAACTCATTTTACTCATGATGTAGTGTAGGATGTTACCCATTCAACGAACGAGCAAAGACTGATTGGTGGTGTGCGAAGCTCCTCCTTTTATAGCCGACTGGTGGTTGTGGTGAAACTCATTTACAACACTGTTTTGACTAATCCCGTCAATGGTGTGTACGTTACAATTTTATCATGCAAAATTAAACAATATGCAGATGTTGCATCAGGAACGTTCTCTTCAAACTCCATTTCTATTTTTATATCCACACTTGATGACTTAACAGATTCGTTTTGTTTTGAACAATCTATTACAATTATTGGAGCTTTTGATTCGTACTGCTCGGGAGACAGTATCGGGGTGTTTGTTTTCCCGTAGTATGAACTTTGGAATCTAGCGTACATATCATACAAAACAGTGTACCTCTTCTTAGTGAAAGAAATATTAAAGTTGTCGTAAGGGAAAAATTGTGAATTAAGAAACACTTTACAATTTGTTAGTTTGCAATGATCGAAATGACCGGCATTAGCTAGTATATTATTCCTTTTTTTTGTTTGTAGTGCAAATATTACATATCTTGCTTTTTCCAAATGAGTAGATGTTTTTACAGTCCATGTATGTCTTTGTGTTTTAGGTAAAACTGGATATTCATGAAATTCCCAACTTCTGAATGGTATTACAATATCTCTATCTGATTTCAGTTGTCTCAACAGTGTTATTCTATGTTCGTCAT